AGGGCCGCCTGAGGGTCTCCGATTTCTGTTGCTCATCCGGGGTGTCGGTGGGGGAGCAGCACCATTTGAGGTCAGGGTGGGGGTGAAGCGTGAGTGTCCGGCACCTCAAGATGAAGGTGGCTTTCCGGACACAGTGAGGGGAGCTGGGTCCATAGGGAGGCTGTCTGGGGTCATTCTTCCCTCTACTCGACTAGCCTTTTCCACAGATGACCTAATGGATAATGCTTTCTGTTCCCAGGTAAGCGGAGATGATCAGTTTCACAATGTGCCCAGTACCTTTCCGGGGGAAACTGCACCCCCTTTCCAGGCTGCCAGAGATACGGAGCAGCTCGAGTTCGCCTCGAGGAGCGGCTTAGCGTTGTCTGCTCCTTGAACGTCAGCGTGGGTTTTGTTTACAGTCTCATCGTACAAGTTCTTTTCCAAGTGGCTCGTAGCTCAGCACAGGCTGTACCTGATTGCTGCTGTTTGGTATTCTTTGCCCCCGCTCTTTGGCTGACCGCTTTCCGGAAACAATGCATAAAACTGTAGGTCATAATTGTTTTCGTAACATCTGGAGGGGAACTGGCTGCTGTTCCCCCGTGTTCTGTGCCCACACAGGCCCAAATGTGTCTTTTCTGTCTTCTTGGCATGTCTTGCCTTTTCCTCCAGCAGGGACGGGCTCTGCGGGGGTCGGCCCCTTCCCAAGGCAGCTTTTGGTTCAAGATGAAGGACATACAGCTTCATTCTTGCCCAGAGATGACGCCATCTCTGGTTTGAGTTGGATGCGTGTGTAATTTTACGCTTTGCCGACGTCTTCCCTTTGTCCCCGTAAATGTGCCTGTTGTGTGTGGTGGGGAGGGAGAGGGGAACGCAGAAAAGAAATGGTATGGCTACGTATCTTATTTATTCATGTCATTATTTTTTAAGTCTAATACATCCGGGAGAGCGACCATATCATATATACAATCTAATGAATGATCGTAAATTTGCGTGAACACTGCTCAGGTTGCAAAGTAGAACGTCATGAGCACACAGCAAGCCCCGCCTCCCTCACTACAGTCCCCCCACCTCGCTCCTCCCCCGAGGTAGCCATTATCCTGATCTCTAACACCACAGTTATACTTCAGCTACTTTGAACTTCAGGTAAACGGAGTCAGTGAGTACACTGTAGTCCCTGACACATTTTGCTCCGTGTTGTAAGATTTATCCGTGTGGCTGCGGTTGAATGATGTTCACTGATTTTT